AAAAATGCATGTCCTTGGTTCAAGGGTATATTTCCTGTTTCCCCAGAGGACGGCTACTTCGGGACGAAAAATATTAAGGGCTATGAAAAGAAAGGGAAGTAAACTTTACACAAGCCTGAAAATAGGCCGAAATGAACAAAAGACACAGCCTAATGATTGATGTAACAAAGCAAAAATAAAGTATATGCGGTGGTCATATTGATGTATCATATCAATACACCGGGTGCGTGTGTGAAAATAAACTCGGTAAATAGCAAATGTAATCCGCTGTTATACATGTAGCTTTAAAAGTGTCAATAGCTGTCACAACTTTACAGTGTCACAATGTAAAGGACTCGGAAAACAAATTTTATAAGAAGGACAAATGAAATGACAGATGAAAAAGAAACTATCATTATATATATGTAGTATTTTGTCGGAGTGAGGGGCAATATCATGATTTCAGTATATAGGTGGGGGATGGCTTATTGTAAACAAACACACTCTTATAAACAAACAACTTCTTAGTCATCATACACACTTTCCTTACAAAGTTTCTGTCTTTATGAGTATTGCCTTCAAATGGTATTGATCGATTCCTTCAAATGTAAATTCCATTTAATTAACGCAGAAAAGCAAAGGAAATGATAAATATTTATAATTCTTAGTGTTTATATAGGTATTCTTGTTCGTTTGTTCCCAATGTAAACAGTTCTTGCAGAAGAATTCTTTTACATATTGACGGAGGTAAGATGCCGATGTAAGCAACCAAATATACTCCAATAGCAGCAACAATTTGTAGTCGGCATTTACGATTATTTTTCGCTAGCTCCTCTCAACAAATTTTCTCTAGTTGCTTACTAAAAAGAAATTTCCTTTTACTATATCATTTTTTGACGTCCATTATGCAAAGATAGGACCTCGATCAACACCCAATACCGACACATGTCATAACTACATAATTTCGAACGAAATATCTCGGAACTGGCATTTTTCATAATGCCAGAATTGACATAACTCTTCTTACGAGTTACTTCCCCTACATTGTTTCATACTATAAGATGTATACATTCCACGCGAGTATAGTATGATGAATAGTATTTGAATTTGTAGTTGAATTAATTTATTTCGTATTTAACTCATATATGTGCTTGGCCGATTTTGTCAATTCATGCCAAATGAATCAGGAAATCAACACGATATGGATAACATTCGATTAACATCAATGTGTATCCATTTACTTCACAACTCTCCACAACAAACATAGAAGGACTTCACAACATAATGTTTTGATTGACATGTACATATTAAATGCGGAAAAAATAGTTTTATATTACCATTACAAATATACTGTGTACCGATAACAGTATATTTACCGAAAATATTCGCCCTATCAAATGATCGCCCTTCGATGGTGAAAACCATTTGATCACATTTAATTACTATGTATATCGTTCACTAAAATGATAAGTTCGCCCTAACTGTGGAGGGCGAAATAGGTGAAAATAAAAACTGCAGCAAAAATTACAGGTATACAGAAGTCAAAGACTTTTAGCAAAACCATTCTGATTCATTGGGTTTGTTTATAGATCAAGGATTTTACATTGTAATCAGCTGGTATGTAGAATAGGAATATGATGAGAACAAAATGGCCCGGCCAAAAAAGAAATGGAACCAATCATACAGTGTATAACTTTTTTTTTCTTTTTTTTTTTTTAATTAAAGTCCGGGGTTTAATAATGCTATATTAGATAGGAATAAATTACAATGTATGAATATTTTCAAATGGACTTTAACTGTCATTTTACAATACCAGAAAGCTAATAATATTACATGTTAGAATTTGGACAAAATGTACCCAAAGTGTTTTACCTATTATACATAATCTATAAAATCTACCCGTTTCCAAAGGGTCAACAGATGACCCTTGGGTAATTTTTTTACAATTTAGATAAAGCATGTATGTACATTTTCATCCATCAAAAGGTTGGGGTTTTTTTTATGTGCCAATATTTTTATTGTTCCTTTTTTTTTTTTTTTTTTT